GAAAATGGTTATGTTTTCCCTGACAGCTTATTTCTCAAATGCTGGCATTAATTTCTAATGTCAATCTCCTACATGATTTCACAGATTCTGCAGGAGCTCTTGTAATTGACCTGTGAGCAATAATAATATATCTTTCCCACTGAGCTGAACACACAGCACTGAGTGGTGAGAGGTACTGCAAGCTGTAGCTTTTGTCTATAAAAGGATTCCAATTAACTAACATATGGTGCAGAAACGCTGTGAGAATATGAATGCAAATGCTCTCATTTCCAATGAGCCACCAGTTAGCGGGGAGCCGCTCTTTAAAGTGGTCATGTATGTGCGCTTACCTTTTAGCTATTCAGTGTAGATGTTGCACAGCATGCATTACTCATTAATTCAATCTTTTCCATCTCAGATAACAATCAACAGGTTATTATCAACAGGTAAAGTAAGAAGTATGTAATAAAAAAGTCATCTTTACTATTAAGGAGACTTTTGCTTGCGTGACTTTAGTCCTTGAAGTAAATTTGTAAATTTGCAAGTATACACTTGGTCTTAATCCTGCAGATTTTTCATGAACTCTCCTGTTCTCCGTTAGTCCTGGGTCCTCTGTTCTTTATTTGTCCTAATTAAATAGCTTGGAAGCGTAATAGGTGAACAACTGCAATCTCATTTCTCAGTTTAAGAATAAATGATTGACAGTTGTCAGTTGGCCCGCTTGAGGTTTTGCCACAAATAGTCACCCACACCTCCGCTTCACTGTTGACTCACACAATGCTGTCTGTCTGTCTGTCTGTCTGTCTGCCATACCCTTTCCTTACTCTTAAGGTAATATTTTGAAATCCAGGGAGGGCCAATTCACACTTCTTGATTTTCCAGCTAGTCAGCAAAGGACGTTGTAACTTCCTTCAGTACAAATCCAGAGTCGAGGGGTTGTGGCTGTAATAATCTAAGATGTAATTTAAGATGCATACCTGTGGTTTGACATACTTTCAATGCAGTCATGCACATTTAAACGCTCTTAAAACTAGTTGGGTTCCCACAGAAACATTCAACTAGTTGACTTTAACTGCTATTTTTGTCTTACTGGAACACTTGGATAAATCAGTGACTCTAGTAAAATGTGGGCTGTTTGTTGCTTTGCATATCAGCCTGTTACCCCGTGGGCCGGTGTACAGGCACACAAGTCATATTCAGCAAGTGAGCAGCTTGAAGGTAATCAAAGTGTAAAGCAACATCCAAAGCTGTGGACTGGCAAAACACTGTGCAAAGAAAGAGGCTTGCATGAGAAGGGGTGGGTGGAGAGAGGGAGTCAGAGAAGGTCGGTTTAATGTGATTTCTTGTCATTACATTAGGGCATCTTATTTTATTTTTAGTGCTTGAGCTTTAGAGAATTAGAAGCGATCTGCAAATGAACTGCGGCTTAATTTTGCCAAATTTGTTGCGCTAGAGTTTCTGAGCAGAAGAGCAACAACAGAAACAGAAGCCACTTGGTTATTACTATAAGTCAGGGAATGATTTCGATTGAAACGTGGCCTTATCCCTGTTAACCATAGCTGAAAGATGGAAATAACAGACACTGTCAATAAAACTTAACTTTATTGGCACACAGCTGGGTGCGGTTGTTTGTCTTTCATCCATATGAGACAGATAAATGACTCATAGTCTTCTTTTGGCAGCCGTGGAGCTAAAATGACACATTTCTTCCCAGCGGATTGCTTGGATTTGTTTGCTTTTGGGCTAAGCTGAAGGAGTATCAGCATCAGGACCTGCACACAGCCATCTGGTTTAGCTTCTCCTGCTTGATTATTTGTTAATTACACTCATCTCAGTCCCAACTGGTTTCCCCCTTTTAAACAATATAACTCGTAACAATAGAAGAACAAAGCAGGGTAGCTTCTATTGTTGAGGCTCATATACATTGTGTGTGTGTGTGTGTGTCTGTGTGCGCATGGAGAAACAAAAGCCCTGATATTTTCAACCAACTAGTATCTGATATGAAACTCTCAGGCTAATGCTGCAGATGATTTGTGGCTACGTAGCCCTGCAGACGCGAGGGCTTTAGTACTTAGGGCTATATCTGTCCCTCTCCCTTTCTGTCTCATCAATCATGCAGTATCCATAGATAATGGATGGCGCTCATGGTGTTACTTGTCTTTTACCGTTCACTGGCCAGACGGATCTGTTAACATGACCTATATACATTGGCGGGCTGTCATGTATTCAGACATGCATCGCTTAATGTGACATCAAACAAATGTGGGCTTAGTGCTTAACAGTCTGTTTCCCTTTACAATGTACTGATGTTTGAAATTTGTTTTGTATCTGTAGTTCATTTGCATCTGCCAAAGGAAGCTGAGGGCAGAGATGGACTTGGAGAGGCAATAAAGAAGTTACCGTGCAGCCTTCTGCTTTGCATTTGTGAGGGTGTATGTGGAATAGGCCTGTGCAATGTGCAATGACATGCTTCTATATTGCAGAAAACCTATGATGTTATAGAAAAACTATTATTAAAGATATCATAAGGTTAGGTTCTGAGGTTGCAGAGGCGAGGGTGTGGTGGTTCTTTCTTCTCCCCATATTCACAGTAAAGCTTCTAGCTAGCTATACTGTCATCCTCTTCTTTATTTCTATTTTAAAAATAGTTTTTAAGATAATCACTGTTTAGGAAAAAAAAGAAACATGGATGGAATGGAAAAAAATATAGTGAAATGTCAATGAACACAATAATATTTAAGACATGGAAAACCATTGAGTTTAAAAACATGGAAGAACCATAGACAATATAAATGATGTTACCCACTGTTAGTGAAGTCTCATTATGAGGCCTTGATGAGTGTTTTCGCCATCATCATCTTGGTGTTGATGGTGAATGGCTTTATGAAACTTATACAAAATGGACCTAAAGTTTTCTGCCTTGAAGTGTGTGACTGAGCCCATAAATTCATCAGTATTAACAGAGGTCAAGTTCAAGGGGTTTTAGACTGAAAGTCTTTCACAGAACACATGGTCCCTGCAGGCTACATAAGCATCAGTCATTCTTTGTCACCTTGCCAGAGGGGATCGACTGCTGTCTTGGCCCACGACTAGCTTTGGAAGAATCAGCTATGTGAAGATAATTGGCACATTAAGTTACCAGTAACACTACGTGCAGAGCTTTTCTTATAACTTGTGCGGAACAATTCATATTCTCTGTTTAATCTTGATGAAGGTGATTTAATAAAGTACTGTAAAAGACTCGGCTGTGAAGGCTGATTGCACGTACTTAAGCTGTGTTGTAAAATCTTCACTTCACCTGGGCTTGCCGTTTTGCTGCCCTGCTGCGTGTGTCAGACAAAGAGGAAAGGCTTCAGCGTGGGACAACAAAACATGATAGGGAACAGTTAGCTTTTTATTGTTTATTTGGCTCAGGTGCACTGCCTCAATAGTAATTTTAGGGAAAACCCTATGAGATGTTTGCAAGATATGTGTCAATAAAATAAATGTCCTTTCTCATAATGTGTTAGGCATGTTCATGTAGCATTTGTGTAGTGTGGTGAGAGGTTTTACAGCACACACGAAAAGATTATTTAGTTTTCTGTACCGGTATATGACACACGAGGATTTACACTGCGTAAAATAGTTCAGTGTTGCCTGCACATGTTAAAATGATCATAGATCCTTACTCACCTCTTTGTATACTGAAAGACATGTCAACACTTCCAAAACTACTTGAAATATAATGATGACAGACAGTAGGGCTGCACAATTAATCGTTAGAAAATCGCGATCTCATTTCATACTTATGTGCAATTTCATTTCCAAATGACAACGATTTTTTAAAAAAAAGAAAAAAAGATGACGATTGTACCGCATTTTGATCCGGGACATAATCTGCATGAAAAGAAGCACTCACTCTTCCTGCTCAGCAAATGACAAGGGCGGAGCCTTATACCACGTGATACAGAAGCCAGCTGGCAGGGAAAAATCAACGGAGAGATGAAGCTGTAAGGCCAAGAAAGTGACTGGAGAAAATCCATCCTGGTCAACCACCCAAACATCAATAACGTGAACCTTATACAGTGCTTCCCTATACCCATCGAACTCCCGCAGGCACAAAGAAATTACAGAGGCTATCACTTATCACCTGACCAAAGATATGGCTCCCATCAACACTGTGCAAAGCGAGGGATTTATAAAAATTATCAACACCCTAGACAAATGCTACACAATGCCATCCCGCAACTATTTTTCAAATGTTGCACTACCTGTTCTATACACGCAGTGTTGAGCAACGGTGGAGGTGGAATTACAAGCAGTACAACATTTTGCTTCAATGACAAAATGTGAGACATTTATTGTTTTGTTATGTTTATTTATTGTTTTTATGTTCTGTCTCAACTGTTACGAAGTTGATGTGCAGTTAATAAGTGCAATAAATATTTATATTGGAGAAGAAAATCGTGAGAGAATCGTGATCTCAATTCTAAGCAAAAAAATTGTGATTCTCATTTTATGCAAAATCCTGCAGCCCTAATCCTGCAGTGTGAGTCAAACAATTATTACAAGGTTAGCTTGGGCTGTTGTCACAATTGTGTCAAATAGCCTCGATATAGCAAAATCCAGATGGATCAATACCGTATAAGAATCTCTTTTCTATCTTCCACCTGTGTTCGGTGTTACTAATCAAACGGAGAGGTTTCCTTTGCCCCCTCCCACTGGATTCAGTCAATCTCACTATTGACTGGTGTAAAGCCTCTTTGCTGTGCCATTTGGAGACATTAGGAGATGAAACAAGGTCTCAAACACCCACTCTAACACCCTCCAACCCAGCTATGACCTGTCAGATTCATATTATATTAATTTGTTTATAAATAGATGGATATTTTTTGCTTTATTTTTCACTATTAGAGACAATTTAATTGCATAAGGTGGACCACACCTTTGTTTTATGCTCAGTGTCTTCTACTATAATCTTTCATATGCAAGTGATACACAGAAAAAGCATACATTTTTATCATTCATTACTGTGTCTCTGTGCGCAGGTTAACTTTGTGGCATGTCAGCTGTTTGCCCTGCTGATGGCTGTTTGGTTTCGGATCTACCTCCATCCCAGTAAGACCAGTCCCTTCATCAGACATGTGGTGGCCACTCTGTTGGGCTTCTACTTGGCTCTCTTCTGCTTTGGCTGGTGAGTCACCCCTCTGTTTATCCCGCAGCTCTGTTCTTGTCATCAGTGTGCTTTCAGACTCTGCTCCAACCTTCCTTCCTTCCTACAGTATCACGTTAGTGACTTTGTTTTCCTGCAAACAGAGGGCATGTCCCAGTTTCATGTTATGGCTATGTGCTATTTTTTTAAATTTATTTATTTGATTTTACTTATGGTTCAATTATCAGTATATAGTATGTTATGTAATGTTATATAATACAAGAAATGTTATGTAATGAAGTGTTCATTTATACTTAAGTTATTTTTCTACATTTCCCAGAATGCTTCTTCCTAAATCAGGACGTTCTTGAACAGTTCACCCTCTGCTGGTTTTGCTAAACTAGCATTCATTTTTACACATAGGTCTCCAAACAAGTAGTTTTGATAGAAAGTCAGCTTTTAAAAATGGTGACACAGACACCCACATTTGCTTCTTGTCTGGGTTTCGTCAGTCACAGAAATTAAGCCAAAAAAAGCTCGACTCCCAAACCATTTTGGATTTCATCCCTCTTGCAGTAGTACCCATTTTCCAGTGTCATGGTTTCCGTTGGCAGTTTATGCTTGCCTTTGTTGTCCTTATAAATACGAATGCATGCCAAACGTTAAGTCACAACTTGTGGTGCGCCTTGGTGTTGTTTTGGCTTTTCGTGCACCCCCCTACACACGCACACAATTTTTTTTTAACCTGGTGTGTCCAGGGCATTTTGGATCTGTGCAAGCAGGTCAGAATCTACCTGAGTGTAGAGATGCCAAATGGTGCCAAATGGCAAAGAAGGAGATTGGTTTTAAAAAGAAACCTCTGTGATGGCTTTCTTTCCAATGTTGTTTTCTGGTCTATTTGAATTTCTTAATCACCTGCAGTGTTTATTCTGTTTAAATTGAACTCTGGTTCATTTTCCTGTTGGTGCATTTCATTTATGCAGGTGTGAACACAGTAATCACACCCTGGTGCTGACCAAAACAATCTCACCAAGACCCTTTGGAGGAAGTGGTCTCAGTGCGTTTCAAAATGAATTTCACAGCGGTTCATTTATGGCGTGAATGTGATTTGACCTTGATCCTAACGAGCTACCAGGTGTATGTTACAAGGTTGAACTAAAACAACTTCCCAAAGCCACGTCTGCTTTTTCCTCTAAGATGCAGCAATGTACTACAGATATGCAAAGGTTCGTATGAGCTACCAACTAACCACAAAATTAACGTAAACGCTCCGTGTTCTCCAGTAGTCTAGAACGTTCTCTAGTGATGAATTTTGGTTCGCTTGGAGTGCACTTGGATTTTTCTTTGTGTGAAGAGAAACCAAACAAGGGAGAGATTAAAAGTTAACAAATTCATCAGCTGATTCACATTAGAGTAAACAAACTATAGGTGTGAAAAACGAAAAATGTCACTGCTGGTTTTTACTCTGTTGCTTTAAGAAAATTCTTACGCTACTACCTCTACTGCACACAAATGGTTTACAATGAATGATAACCCTCAAGTGCCGTGCTCATATGCAATAAGATTGTTGCTAAAACTACTAAAATGCTCATCAAACACTAGTAAAATCTATTAGCGTGCAAAGAAACCAAATAATCAGTTAAACTGAATACCACAGTGACACTCTTTGGTCTGCCTATGGTCTGATTATTGTAGTTTATTTGTGTTGATGTTACTATACCAAAAAATGAAACCAGACTTCCTGCATATTTGTCGGTGGTTGTTCGGAGGTTAGGTTTGATAGGACGATTGCCTCATTCGTTATTCTGGGCTTTTTTTGGTTTGTTTTTTTAAAATTCTGTACTCATTTGTTTGCCTGCTGTTTGCCTGCCATCGTCTTTGCTCTCCCTTGTCACTTCTGCCACTACCTTCACAGCCCTTCATGCCAAAGCAAATTAATCGATTGGGTAGTAACTGCTGTCTCATTAGGAAGCTGTTGTCCTGTATTAGACCATCTACTGTACCTCTGGCACAGTGCCGCTGTGTGTGTTCATGTGTATATATAGCAAACACAGGAAACACTTGTTTCCTCCTAATCAGACTTCAAGCTGCACAGCAAGTGAGAAAGTGATAGCCAGATAAAGTGTTATCTGATCATCACACCGATGGGGTCTTATGTCACTTTACCAGCAGACTGTTTATGCTGCATGACTGAGCTGACACCAAGCAGATGGATGATAGTCAATCATATAGTATCAGAAACACTCTCCTTATGTACAGTGACATGAAAAAGTATTTGTTTTGTTTTTTTAAATCTTTTTTGTTTTAGTTTCTTTTGCATATTTGCAACACTTAAATGTTTCAGATCATCAAACAAATGTTAGGCAAGGATAACCAAAGCCATTACAAAGCCGATGGAGTATTGTTGTCACCCTGGTGGGAGGGTGGTTGGCATGGTAACCCAACTTTGTGAACATTCTCAAATCGATGCTATTGGTGCCGCTACTAGAAATCTCAGTTTGATTCTCTATGACCCTGACTTCAAAGTCAAGGTCATATGACTGCAAGGTCAGAGTTCAAGTTTTCTTAAAACACTTGTGAATCCAAGAACTCAAGAAGAAAGTCACCTAGAAACTTCAAACTTAGACCACATGTGCATCTACGTGGAGGGTGAGGGGTAGCACTAGTGGCCTTTAGTATTTTAAAATGATGATTTCATTTATTAAGGGAAAAACGTTATCCAAAAATAGAACCAAAATAGAAAATCTTCAACATCTGTCAGTCTGGAAGGGGTTACAAAGCCATTTGTACAGCTATGGGACTCCAGCCAGCCACAGTGAGAGCCATTGTACACAAATGGAGAAACCATGGAACAGTAGGGAACCTTTACAGGACTGAACAGCCTATGAAAATCACTCCAACAGTGCATCCAGGAGGTCACAGAAGAACCCGGAACAACTGTACGTCTTACTAGTCTCAGTTAAGGTTGGTGTTGATGATTCAACCTTAAGAAACAGAATGGGATCCATGGGAGTGTTACAAGGAGAAAACCAGTGCTGACCAAAAAGAACTCAAAGGCTCATCTCACATTTGCCAAAAGCACAATGGGATGGTATTCTGTGAACTGATGAGATACAAATGTAACTTTCTGGAAGGTGTGAGTCATGTCACATCTGGAGTAAAACTAACATAAAAAGAACATTGTACCAACAGTCAAACACGGTGGTTGTAGTGTGATGGTCTGGAGCTGCTTTGAAGCTTTAGGATCTGAATGACTTGCTATAATTAATAGACTCACAAATTCTGCTCTGTACCAGAAAGTCCTGAAGGAGATGTGTGGACATATTATATCTGGCAGCCTAATCAGTTTAATGTAAGTTTTGAAGCTGGCAACAACAGATGTTTTCAAAATTCAGGCAAAACACAGGCTGTGGTTATCCATGTGGATGCACTGCAATTTCTAAATCACAAGGTCCCGTGGCAATAACAGTCCCAAGTGGACTTAAATTTATTTTTGTAAATGGTAACCACAGGCTACTTGGAAAAGTCGTCTCAAGCAAGGCTGCGGAACTTATCATCAGATACTGGCAACAGGGGAAGTGTAGTAATAAAGGAAGTGAAACACCGACTTAGTCCGACAACACAAGAGATGTGAGCAAATGTCATTTTTTCTGGCCAAAACCAGTCGTCTATTGTAGCACAAAGGGGCCAAATAATCACTATTTGATATTTACCTCTGTGAGCGCCCGCCAAAGAGTTTTATTGTCTGCAGCAATTAGTAGGTAATAAAAAGACTATACACTCATAGAAATGTCATTAAGAAGATACATTTTATGGAGGTAATATATAGCATTTATTGTACTTGGCTCAGTATTCCCAGTTAAGTGTTTTATGTTGCTAAGACTGAATTAGCCGCTAATCACAGGGTAAAAAGGTTTAACTTGACAAGTGGAATTGGTGATAAACATGTAATGTAGAGGAAGGAAAGGGCATTAAATGCATGAATGCATCAATAGTTTTGTTTTGTTTTTTGGGGGGGTTTGGGTGTATGCTTTTATTCAGGGGGCATATATGACGGCTTTCGTGATGGCTTTCATAGCACACAGACATTCTGCTGCTGCTCCGTGTTAGAGAGCCCTCGACTGCTGGTCTTAAAGGAGCTTCCTTCCAAATGCTCCAGGCTGACTGGTTTCTTTTAGGTTGTATTTCCTCTCTGCCAGAAACATACGCTTTTTCCTCAATGCTGCTGGACAAACATTTGGAACTGACTATTTAGTACGTTTCAGGCAAACGGGTTGGAGTCTCTTTGTATAAGAATTTTATTGCCTTTTCCCCTCTCGGACTCTTAACCCTTGTATTTTCAGTTAATTCCATTCACCCACCCCTATGATCTTTTGTTCCTCGCCAGCCCTGATAGACGTGTTGTGTTTGTTGAGTCACAGCTAACACACTGTGACATCTCTCCTCTCCTGGAGGGCTTGACGTCTATAGGATCACACACTGCGCCCTTCAAAGATCCATCTGGTAGCTGCTGCCACTGCTGAACTGTTTGTGCCTCGCACAAAGGGAGAGAGGTGGATATATGGCAGAGTTGGTTTAATATCTTGTTAGTACGTGCTGTTACTAACATGTTAATTAACAACATAGTGTGATGTTATGGTCACATTCCCTGCCCTGTGACTAAAGATGACACTTTACTAGTTACAAAGGTCTGTCCTCACATGGTTGCTGGTGTGACTATGCTTTGTAATGCTGTAATTTCCTCTTCCTTACAACTATACAGGTAGATAAATAAACAGTGGTATTTATTATTTGTGGTATCTGTCTCTCTACAGGTATTCCCTTCATTTCCTGGTCCAGAGTGGCCTGTCTTACAGTGTGATGGTGTTTGCTGGGCTGGAGAACATGCACAAGTAAGAAGAAAACTCACAAACCTGTAAAAAAAAATCAGTTTGATTTAATAAACCCTGAAACCAAAACTTGAAGTTTGCTGCACTTGAATCTTGTCATTAATGTTACATTAGATATTGGACTGTTTTAAGGCTTCATGTGCTTTATCTGTTTAGGGCACATAGGCCTAAGACACACTGATACTGATTCTGCTCCCGGGCTTCCATCTGTGTCCATGAAGACAAACACACACACTCAGATGCACAGGCATATTCACATTGGCTTAGATGCTATTTTTGCTAGAATTCAAGGTTATGAGTGCAGGTGTGAACATTAGATGTTTCCCCCTGGGAAGATCGCTCTAAATAGATACTAAGGAAATATTCATACAGCTGCTCTCAGAAAGAAAAGGCTCCAAACCCGGTGACAGAATGGAAATGACAACTTTGGTTAATTAGATGAGCAACACGTTTTGACATGCATCACCCTTTGCGAGAGGTTCAACTCTTATTGTCCTTTGTAGCCCGGTGTTGTGTCTTTGCAGGTTGGTACATAAGCGCAGTCCACTCCCTCTTGCGGTAACACTTATGAAACCTTCACCTGCATTATATTTTTACATAACAAATTAGTTATTATCAGTCTAATAAGCTGAGATCGAGCTGGGGGTTTGTGCCAAGTGGCTGGACACGTCGGTCTGAACTTTAGATCGCAACCTTTGTTCTTTGACCTATTTCTAACATAGCAGCTTATGTAGACGTTAAAATATCTCAACACATAAAAGTGTGCCACTGGTAAAACGTTTACCTTAATGCCCTCTTTTCTTTTTTAAAAAACTTGTCTGCAGTAATCAACCTAAGGAAATAATCTTTTGTCCCCTTTAATGGAGGCTTGCAGTAAATTATTATAAAGCTAAATACACTATTTTTTTTCCACTGAAGAAACTTCAAGCTGCCATGAAAACACTGAGGGCAAATCGACATATTCTCCAGTGTATAAAAAAATGCCAATCCATAGTAGGGGACATAAATGACATCCTGGATTTCAGCTGCCATCTGTGACAGATGGGGAAATCTAATGAACCCATACACAACATACAGTGAGGAAGGTCGCGCATACAGGGAGCACAGTATGACAGCTTTTTGGGTCTAAGTGTGGATCAAACCCAAGTCTGGCTGTAGTCTGACTAGAGGTGCTTTGTTTAGTTGTTGGCATCATATTTCGTACTATTCATCACGTGAGCTCCAGATCTCTTTCACTCCCAGCTCCCTGCTGTCTTTGACAGCTCACCTGTTGGATGTGGCAAGCAGACGGGGAATGTTCTAGATGCATTCCAACTTGCCTCGAGCGTGAACACAGCACTGCCTGCTGGTTGATGGCAAAGAGGGAGAACTGTGACATTGTTAGATATAGTGTAACTAATGAAAGAAGCTATCAGAGTAATGAAAGAGCCCACTTACAGGGATACTGGCAGTAAAAAAGAATTGTAACAAGTCAGACTTCTACAGAAATGAGAGAAAAACTGCTGTCTTGTTGCAAATGTGTTGGTACCTGATCTTTATAGTTTTCAGCTTTTGAGCCTTAAAATGAGGTAATTGTATCTAATTGGCTCTTTTACAGCATGTAGCTACTTAAAGCTGTTTAATCAATTGGGTTATTTTTCTTTATTTTATGTGTTTTTCTTTTCTTTTTCATTTGTTTTATTGGCCTCAAGAGCCATTTTCACACATGAGCTGTGGGCCTGAGCTATATGTGAGAACGCAATTTTCTACTTCAGTTTGATTTGATATCAAATGGTCTTTGCCCTGCCAGCTCCCTAGTTTGATGTCACCTTGAACCCTTGTGAGAATCGAGCATAGTCTAGAGAATTCACAGCCAGCCAAGAGCACTTAATGTATCCTTCCACTTGCACACTCTCTAACCAAGCAGCACCTTCACCTAAACCAAACAAATGACACATAAGTCTGGAACTTATGTGTCATTTGTTTGGGGAAAACATAAAGGTAAAGAGAAACTGGCAGGATGCATATTCTCCCTGTGCTTGTAGGTTTCTACTGGATACTCTCACTTCCTCCCACAGTCCAAAGACATGCACAGTAATTGGTAACTCTAAATTGGGCGTAGGTGGATGCAAGCTAGGTAAAGCACTTAAGTGAATAAATATGTGTGGAAAAGGCGAATATAGTGTAGCAGGCATTGAATGGTTATTAAGACCAAAAAGGGTCTGAATCCAAGTCTGTTGCATCCGTCTGTTCATGAAACCACTTTGCTACCCTTTAAACATCTGTAGCTCCAGTGCTAGCCAACAGAGTTAAGGAAATTTGATCTCTTTTTAAATTGACTGTAAATCTAAGGGTGACATTTGTATGAATTACTTCCTCAAATTTGCTTGGCCTGCTTTTAGTTTTCATTTCTGTATATACACCGTGTACTGTATCCATACCTGCACCTCCAGTGTGGCTTGACCTGTCTACCGCTGTCCCACAGCGGGAGACCAGCCAGCTTTAGTCTCCAGGCTCCATCTGATGCCTTGAGTGGAAATGAAACACCCCCCTCTGAGCTGTAAATTACACAAATACAAATCAGGTGATGATAAGACAGGATCCCCGCTGGGCTCAGTACAAATATAGCCGGTCCTGCATATATAGTTCACATCCTCACTGATAAAATGTGGCTGCACACTTCTACTGCAGAGTGCTGATCCTGGCAAAATTAGGGTTTTTGATAAAGATTCTTTTTTTTGTTTGTTTGTTTGTGGAGTCAAAAGAAAAATTCCCTTTTGTGTTGCACTAAATCACTAAATGTGCACTTTCTGGCATACAGTCTAGTCTTTTTGTTAAAAGCGAGTGTAATTTCTGCCAGTGCAACAGAACAATGTACCTCACTCCAACGCATCAGTAATATATTTTAAGTGGGCTTTCTCCAGGTGCTCCTGCCGCCTCTCACGGATAATTGGTGATTTTTATCTCGGCTGTCAGTGTCAGAATAAGCGTTAGTAGCCATTCTCTTTGTGTCTGCTGTGTGATGGACTGGCGACCTCTTCACGATTTACCCCTCCTCTTTTCCCCAGCTAGGACAGACTGCAGTATATTCGCAGATGCAGATTTCAGTTTTTAATTCAATGCTGGATGACTGTTCAAGCAACAGTTGCTTACCTCTTTCCCTGACAAACACTTGACGACCTCCGCTGTACCCATAATGACGAGTTTTGACACCTCAGAATATATAATTAAAGATGTAGTTTGACCACCATCAAAAAATAGTTTCCAGGTTTTTCCAAGGATAGCTGCACAGGGAGACCCCGCCTTCACTAACTTCTGCACACAGCCACTCATTTTGTAAAACCCCACATGGGGGCTCAATAAAATGTGTATATTTTCACCAGATCTGACGCATGTGCAACGATACACGGAGCAGATATAATAGGGCGTTCACTCTTGCTTGGGGACAAACTAATCTAGTCCTTGTAAGTTTTCAAGGGGTAAAGAGTTTTGTCATTACATAATTTCATTGCATTTGTTTCTTGCCACCGGTATTTACCAGCCAGTGTGACAGATAGCCCTCCAATATTTACTGACCAAATGCAGAGTCTTCCTACTAATCTACTGCTTAGTGGGTGTTAATTTTGGACCACGTATGAATGAAGCCTTGAGAAATATTATGTGAAAGCGTCTGACGGACAGAATATTGTCAATTTATGCAAGAGAATAATGAAACCAGCTTTGAAAAAGCTACAGGCAGCAGTTAATAAAGTACTATAATAAGCTGCTGGCGTGGGAATCTTAGCAACATTGCAAAGAGCCGTTTGGTCTCCTATATGTGCAGAATGCTGAAAGAATATTGTGTAAACTGCTTATACCCTCGGATGAGATGCCAAGTGTGGGCTGTATACAAATCTCTGAGAATAACAGATAAAGCACAGTTTACTGTGCTTTATCTGTCTTCTCTAAGGGTTTTGTGATTAATAGGAGTGTGCAATTGTAGTGTTTGATTGCTTCTAGAGAAATGGCTCTTGAAAGCTATACAAATGTTTCATACTGGAGAAGTACGAGTGCCTTCTTTTATTTTGTTTCATACGTGCTTGGCAGCAGATATCAGGTGACGTCTTGGATACAGTAGGCTGTGAGAATCAAAAGGTCCCGTTGTGGCTTATCTCCAGCACAGCATTGTTGTAGCTGGTATGCTGTATTGCTTCTCAGAGAGGCACAATCCTCTTATTGTTGACAGTGGAGGGATGCTATCTGGCTAGCTTTGACTTGAGCTGACTCTGCAGCAGCTTTGTGTTAGACCCTTTAGTGCTGCTGTGTTTTTGGGCCTTGTCTTGAAAGGTTGCGTTGTCCTCCGTCTTCCCTCCCTGACAGAGACACATTGCTGGAGCCTTCTCTGCCCTTTTGTCCAGTTTACGACTCCCTCCCCCCCGCTGCATAGTTCTGCCCTGTTCCTGAGGCCACTGCGTACTGTGCTGTGTTGAAAAAAAAAAAAATCTTTGTTCAGCCACAGAGATCAAAACAAAGAGATGAACGTTTATTTTTTTTTCTCCCCAGAACTCTAAAATGAACTGTTTATGTTGCACATATCAAGGTGCTGGTCTGAAAAGCTCCTCGTTGCTATGTTGAATAGTTGAGAACAAGTTGTACCCAAGTTTCTTAGCTGTTTTCGTGTCTGACTCTTGTGACTACTACTGTATTTCTTTTTTAAATGTCACTTAAATGCAGATAAAATCTAATATTTTTTTTTTCTCTGCTTCTTTTCTGTGTAGATACTGCTTCATTGTAACACTGGGCTATTTGATATTGTGTCAAATCACACGGGTCTACGTTTTTGACTACGGCATGTACTCTGCAGATTTCACAGGGTAAGCTAACACTAGAACTCTTTCATCCTCATTTTTCACATTTCAAAAGAATGCTTTTCTTTGTACAGCCCATCAGTTATCCATTTTCTGAAACGAGCTATTTCGAATGCTTTCCTTTTAAGACCACATTCTCTTTAAGCCAAGTTTGATGGGCTAGCCCTTGCATATACAGTGTGTTTAAACATCAGGTGTGTGGGGCATCTGTGAACTATATGCCTGAGCTGACCAAATTTTAAGAATAATCCCCTCTCTGTCTTCTCTAAAGTCTGAGGGAAACTGTGTGTTTTGAGTAGACTGAATCCTGAACGTTTGGCTCACGGGGATTACTTGTGTGCTGACCTCAACATTTGAGACTTTGCCAAATGACAGAAAATGAGGCATAATCAGTGCACTTTTAAGATATTTTGGACCTTAATTTAACATTAAAGACCTTCACTGATTGAGCTTGAATCCCAAATGGACTACAAATGACGCTAAAGGGAGAAGTCGTCGATAAGAATCGGCCGAATATTGGATGTGACTCGAGCTAAATGGATACAAGACTGAGTCCCACTGCTCATCTGTGTCCGCACGAGGACGTCGGCAGGGACTGCAGTTCCAAGTGGCTGGTTCCCATTTCTCCAGACAGTCTGACAGTTTGAGCACACAGCCCGCACTCCCAGCAGGTTGGGGGTGGCTAGTTACTAAGCAACCTAATGCAAAGCCATACTTCCTCTGTGAGATTTCACTCCTTCAGCTACATCTGTTGTCCCTCTGTTTTCGCTCAAAATGTCAAAATCACATGTTTTCTTAAATGTCATTGTACCTCCCACCCCAGCCAAATGTGCTTCGGAAAAAGGGAATTATATTTAAGGCCAATATTCAGATTTTGGACTATTTTGTTTCCTTATTATGTTTCTTTCGGGCTAATAGGGAAAATGTCTAAGATAGGTGTTTATTTAATTAGAGTAGTAGTGCATATTTATTGAGTTAATCCATTTTTTGCACATTACAAAAACATTTCTACACAAAATAATTGCCTCAGTGTAATCAATTAGGAAAGTTTTTGTCTTTTTCAAATATCTTGAGCCACACTATATTTCAAAGATGACTAATATACAGTAAATACATTTTTTTCTTTAAGTCACTTAACACTGACCTATGAGTCATTCAGGCAGAAAAAAGACACATACTCGTGTTGTGTCAACACATAACTTACAACTTGGCAAAGAACACATTTTAAATTCTGGCTTTGGGCACTTTTTGCAGAAATACACAATTTCTTCCAATTTCTTAGCTGAATCTGCAATTGCTTGCCTAAGAAAATTTAGGCATTATTAAAGAATAAAGGTTGTCTTATCAAATATCGACTTTCAGGCTGGTTAGTATTATACAAACAGTTTGTATTTAATATACTGCATTTCCATGAATCTCTGTAACTATTTCTCTTCCTACCAAAATATAAAGAAATGACATGTGGCTCAAGACTTTTGCACAGTACTATAAATAGGTAAATAAAGCCTCATTTACATATTTATCTGTAAAATGTGCAAGATAAAAAATAATTGGCTTAAGTCTCATAATAACATCCCATAGTTGTAACTTTTACCCAATTGGCCTTTAAAGAGCAAATAATCTCTACCCTGTGGCTTATTCTTCCATTTGTAGCTCAACTTCATGCCACCAGCAGCTTTCATGTATAAAATTAATCCAGAATATGCTGATGCAAGCATCGGGAGAGGAGCTGTGTTTTTCTGAGTTTAGGCTTATAAATATCCCGCACTGATAGAGAATATCATTAAGTCGGGATAAGGAGGGCTGACCAGCACAGAACTGGAGAAAAAACAACAACAGGAAGTTTAATAAAAGCCTGCCGTTATTCTGGAGGAAACTAGCCATTGTGAAGATACTACCACTCAGTGTTTGCACTGTTATTGGAAGATTCCACATAAAATATCAAACAATGGTTGCTAAATGAATACGGGATAGCAGCCAGGCAGGAAAACTCAGGACAAAGGTTTAGTGCATGAGGAAATGTATGTATCCTAAAGTCAGAACACTGAGACTTAAATGTGCTGCGTGTTTGTTTTTTGTTTTTTAATGTTTACTCTGTCTTTAGGCCCATGATGGTTATCACACAGAAGATCACCAGCATGGCATTTGAAATCCATGATGGTAAGAACAAGTGTCGTTAAAGCCCGTGTGTCTCCAGTGTAGTGTGCGTGCGTGCGTGTGCATACTTTGAAAAAAAGAAGTGGCAGATGTGACAGAAGTGAAAATGTCAGTTCAATTCTCTTTGGAGTGTGAAAACAGATCAGATGGCCACATTTCTGAGCCAGTTGTCAGTTCCTACAATGGGCTACTGAACCAGAAGGAGAGCATAAACATAGTTATATAATGGAGCAATGACCAACTTTGCATTGTTTTTTTTCCCCCTCCTCAACCGTTAAGACTTTCTTTAATCCCAAATCTAATTAAACTAGACTTTGTGCTGTCCAAAAAGTCAAGACAAGACATGTGATGGAACAGCCCCGTGTTACATTGTGACATACCGCAGAGCCTGT